GGCCCCTGGGGGCCCCGTTCCACCCCCATCTCCCCCCAGACGTGGACCGCCAGCCTCTGCCTGCGCCTCGAGGTCCTGGGCTGCCCCCTCTCCAGTAAGAGCCACCCCAAAGCGGCGGCTGAGGGGGCTGGGGGGGTGGCAGCTCCGCAGCCCCCCCCCGCCGTGTCCCTGTCCCCTCCGCAGCCGTCAGCAGCTACTACGCCCAGCAGAACGAGGTGACCTCCACCGACAACCTGGACTTCCGCCACCACACCTACAAGGACATGAGGCAGGTGAGCACCTCCGTGGGGCGGTGGGCACCTCCGTGGGGTGGGCTCCTTCACGGGGGGTGGGCTCGGCCCCCCGAGCACTGTCCCCCATCACCTGCCCCCCACCCTGCGCCCGCAGCTGATGAAGGTGGTGAACGAGGAGTGTCCCACCATCACCCGCATCTACAACATCGGCAAGAGCTCGCGGGGGCTGAAGATCTACGCCATGGAGATCTCGGACAACCCAGGCGAGCACGAGACGGGTGAGAAGGGGAGGTGTGGGGCGACCCGGCTGCTGTCCCCTGCCGCAGGCAGCATGCTGATCCTGCCTGTACCCTGCCCGCAGGTGAGCCCGAGTTCAGGTACACGGCGGGGCTGCACGGGAACGAAGCGCTGGGCCGGGAGCTGCTGCTCCTGCTGATGCAGTTCCTGTGCAAGGAGTACCATGACGGCAACCCCCGGGTGCGGAGCCTGGTGACCGAAACCCGCATCCACCTCGTGCCCTCCCTCAACCCCGATGGCTACGAGCTGGCCCGCGAGGCGGTAAGGGGACGGCAGGGCAGGGGATGGGACGGCGGAGCGGTGGGATGGGACGGTGGGATGCAGCCCCCGGGCTCACCGCTGCCCTGGGCTGCCCGCAGGGCTCCGAGCTGGGCAACTGGGCGCTGGGCCACTGGACGGAGGAGGGCTACGACCTCTTTGAGAACTTCCCCGACTTGGCTTCGGCGCTGTGGGCGGCCGAGGAGAGGAAGCTGGTGCCCCACAAGTTCCCCAACCACCACATCCCCATCCCGGAGCACTACCTGGTTGAGGACGCCACGGTGAGCCACGGCACGGGGCGGGGTGGTGGGACAGTGATGGGGACGTGGTGTCTCACACTGCCGTGCCTGCCATGGCAGGTGGCGGTGGAGACGCGGGCTGTCATGGCATGGATGGACAAGAACCCCTTTGTGCTGGGAGCCAACCTGCAGGGTGGGGAGAAGCTGGTATCCTACCCCTTTGACACGGCCCGGCCCGTCAGCGAGACACCAGCGGCCGCCCCTCGCCCGCCAGACGACTACGAGGACGACAACCCCGAGCTGCAGGAGACGCCCGACCACGCCATCTTCCGCTGGCTCGCCATCTCCTACGCCTCGGCCCACCTCACCATGACCGAGACCTTCCGCGGGGGCTGCCACACGCAGGACATGACCAACGCCATGGGCATCGTGCAGGGGGCCAAGTGGCACCCCCGGGCTGGCAGTAAGTGGGTGCCACGCCATACGGCGTCGGTCCGCCCGCCCCGCGCTCCCACCACCTGAAGGTGCGAGCGAGCGGCTGGGTGAGCGCTTGGTTTGTTTTACAGCCATGAATGACTTCAGCTACCTGCACACCAACTGCCTGGAGCTCTCCGTCTACCTCGGCTGCGACAAGTTCCCCCACGAGAGTGAGCTGCAGCAGGAGTGGGAGAACAACAAGGAGTCGCTGCTCACCTTCATGGAGCAGGTAGGTGCCGGGACGCGCCAGGCAGGGAGCCGGCGCTGCCCCGCCTGCCCCACATGGCTCCTCTCGTCCCCTTTCCTCGCGTAGGTCCACCGGGGCATCAAGGGCTTGGTGACGGACCAGCAGGGAGAACCCATCGCCAACGCCACCATCGTCGTGGGGGGCATCAACCACAACATCAAGACAGGTATGGTGCAGGACAGGGTGCCAGGCGGCGTGCCGGCAGCACCGTGCCGCCTCCTTCACACCCCGCTGCCTCCCCTCGCTCTCCGCAGCCAGCGGTGGGGACTACTGGCGCATCCTGAACCCGGGCGAGTACCGCGTCTCGGCTCGGGCCGAGGGCTACAACCCCAGCGTCAAGACCTGCAGCGTCTTCTACGACATTGGGGCCACCCAGTGCAACTTCGTCCTCTCGCGCTCCAACTGGAAACGCATCCGGGAGATCATGGCCATGAACGGGAACCGGCCCATCCGCCGCATCGTGCCCGGCCGCCCCATGACGCCCCGCGAACGCATGCGCCTGCGTATGCGCCTCCGGCAGCGCATGCGGCTCCGGCAACAGATGAGGCTGCGGCGTCTCAATGCCACCACGGCCGCCAGTGCCCCCACGGCCCCGCCGCCCACCACGGCCCTGCCCTTCCCCTTCAGCAGCACTGCCTACGCGCCCTGGAGCCAAGAGCCACCCACAGCCGGCACCTGGGAGATGGAGACCGAAACGGAGGTGGTGACTGAGCTGGTGACGGAGACGGAGGCCTGGGAGCTGGGCACGGGGACGGCGCAGCCCTTCACCACGGCCGAGACCTACACCGTGAACTTTGGTGACTAGGAGATGCTCGTCCCCTCGCTCCTGCCTCGAGCCAAGGCCGGACGCTTGCGGCCGGTTTGGTTTTGCCTGCAGCAGGCTCCGGCATCTGCTTCTAAAGCCTTCCTCGAGCCCCGGGCAGCCCGCTCTGGGTAGCCCGCCCCGGGTGGGCTCCGGCTTCTCACCCGCGCTGCTTCCTCGACTGCAGGGCACGCCATGCCGACGCTCGCCCCAAAGGCTGGGCGGCTGCGGAGCATCCCCCTTGCCAGGCTCCAGAGCCCGGCAGGAGAGGACGTGCTGCCCCGTCCCTCGGGGCTGGGCAGCGCCAGCCCTTGCCTGGCAAGGGAGGGGGTGAAGCAGGACCCAGCCCTCGCCCCGTCCCCGTCTCCCGGCACAGCGGGGCTGGCAGGGGTGGTCCCACTCTCCAGGGCAGGGCCCACGCGGAGGCAGCTGCAGCCCCTGTCCCCTCCACACAGTTTTTTTGTTACACAAATAAATCAAGTTATATTGGTACAAGCGTCTCTTCTCTCCTGTGCCCCCGGCAGCTCTGTGCCAGCCCTCCCGGGAGGGCAGACGGGGATGACACAAAGGCGGAGGGCGCCAGGGCCCTCCGAGGGGCCAGGGGTTTATTGAGTCCGTGCCCTGCCTGCTCAGTCAGTGCCTGACCTCCATGTCCCCGTCATCGTCCTCAGCCCCGAAGCCGGAGAAGCTGATGGGCTGGCAGCTGAGGTTGCGCAGGTTGACGAGGCAGGCGGTCTGTGTGGTGCTGAAGGTGGGCACCGTCAGCAGCAGGACCTGCTGCTCGTCCTCCCCTGCAAAAACAGGCAGGCGTCAGGCAGGTGAGCCCTCGGGCAGCACCCCGGGGCAGGGTCCCAGCCCCGAGCGAGGATCGGGGGCCCTGCAGGCTGCGGGACTCACCTTTGAGCAGCTTGGACTGGAAGCGGGGAGCGTTGCCGCAGAAGTAGACGTGAGGGCAGTCGGTGAGGATGAAAGGGTCTGATTTGTAAAAGGGGTAGCAGCCTGGGAGGGATGGAAATTAGGAGGGGAACCTGCACCTTGCACCCCTTCGAGGGCAAACACCCCCCCAGCCTTGGCGGCCACCCAGCTCTCGCCTTACCCAGCGTGTCCGGGGCCGTGGGGCTGATGTGTCCCGCCAGCAGCGTCCACTCCAGGATCTCCAGGTAGTCATCCATGCTGCTGTATTTGAAGATGTCGCTGATGTTTTGCCCTGAGGTCCCCAAAAACCTACACCATTTTGGGGGAAAGAAGGAGAGATTTGACAGCTGTACTTGCCGTGACTTGCCCCGCGATCCCATGCCGCCAGCAGTTATCACAGAGCTGCTGGCACACCAGGTGTTTTTACCTGACGCCGTCCACGTCGGCCTGGTAGGGGTTGGTGACGAGCCGGAGCGTGGAGTAGGCGCTGGCGAGGGGCAGCATGCAGTGATGCAGGGGCTGCTGCGGCAGCGTATAGTTGGTGGGGTCAAACTCACCAGGCATCACGTCCACGGGCACGGAGGTCTGCCGGCAGAGCGGGGATTACGGGGGATGGCCCAGCCACCCTCCTTCGAAGGGGCTCAGAGCAAATCCCCGGCTCTGCCCACTCCCTGATTTGGCTCCCGCCACTTCCCCGCAGGAAGCCCCGCTTGGCTTCACCACAGAGACCAGATGCCAGGAGAGGGATCTGAAGCTGGGCTGCGCGCTGCCTCCCCTTCTTGCCGCATTCCTGTACAGCACCATATGCGGTGCTCAAAGAGAAGGTGGGGGCCGGGGAAGGGGCGTTTGCCACCCCGCACCCTCGGGCTGCTGGCAGAGCGCTGCTTCCCTGGCTCGGGAGCCAGGCTCCCTCCCCCAGAAGGTACCCAAGTCCCCGGCCAACCCTATCCCGCTCCAAGCACTTACGCAAAGCTGCAGCAGGATCTCATCCAGCATCTTCACGGCCTCCACGCTCGCAGCCTGGGTCTTCTTGGTCAAGTACTTGGCCTGGGGCAGTGGGGAGAGAGTGAGGGAACAACCCCGTGCCCTCTCTGACTCCTCCTTCCCCACCTCCACGGGCCTCCCCGTGCCAGCCCGGGCCCCAGAGAGCAGCGTCGAGGCTGAAGGCCCCTTCCCCGCCGTACCTTGTTGATGGTGTCCCGGCTCTGCGTGTTCTGGCTCAGCAGGTTCCCCGCCAGAATGACGCGGGAGATCTGCGCGGCGCAGCTCTGCTCGCCCTCGGCGCCCAGCTGCCCCGTCACCACGTCCACCAGCAGCTGCGTGCTCAGCAAGGACTCGCCGCTGCCGCTGCCCAGCCCCAGCCCCGACACCAGCAGGACGAACCTAAGCGGAGAGGCTCGGGCAGCACACTGTGCTCCCTGCCTGCGCCCATCCCTGCCTGCACGGCGATGCCAGGGCTGCCCACACCAAGGGGCTCCGGATACGGCGGTGCCAGCCCCGCTCCTGTCCCTGCGGAGACTCACCGGTCCGAGTCGGGGCCTTTCCAGGGCAGCGGCCGGGGCAGGTTGGCGAAGCAGTGATCCTCCACCAGGAACTTGCCATCATCCTGCTCGGAGCCGTACACGGCGCAGATGGTCCCTACGGCAGAGAGCGGACGGTCAGCCCCCGGCCAGGGCCTGTGAGGTGGCTCCCACTGCAGAGCCATCGTCCCCTACCTGTCACCAGCCTCTGCACCTCGACAGCTCCTTCCAGCTTGATCCGCTGCAGCTCGTCCTCCAGGATCAGCTCGTCGGAGGGGTGGATGTACTTGGGCAAGGGCGGCTGAGGCACCAGGTTGTGCTGCGGGGGGACAGGGCAGGCTGTCATGGCCTCGGCAAGGCGAGCTGCCCCAAAGGGCCCTTCCTCCCCCCAGCCAAACCCCGCTCGTGGAAACCAGAGCGCGGGCGCGTGACTCATGAGAGCCGCCGGCGCGGCCCCCCCCGCCGATGCGGCCAACACCCCCGCTGCCGCTTTGAAAGCGGCGCTTTGGAGGCCCCGGCAGCTCTCGGCGCTGCTCGCCAGCTGCACACCGCCTGGACGAGCTGGTTTCGCTTAACGCTTCCCTGCAGCGCCCTGGCGAAGCAAACACGAGCGTGGCTCCCCGGCCAAGGAGGAAGCGGCTCAGCCAGGCGGCGGGAGACAGCGCTCTGGCTCGCCTCGGGAAACGTGTTTGCAATCATCGCCCGGGCAAGCACTCCGCTCCCTTTGAACCCTGCCCGGCAGGCACGGGGCTAACCTCATGCTGCGACGAGCAGGCTCCAAACTTCCCAACACGCTCCCTGTGAGCTGGCTGGGAGCAGATGGGCCCCCAGCACGGCATGGGGACGGCAGAGCTTCCCCGGACGCCCCCCTCATCCTCCTCCCCTGCAGCAGGGAAAGGAGGTTTGCTCTGCTGGATCCAAACCCTCCAAGGGCAGGAAAAGCAACACCAAGCAGGCACGTACACGATGCGCACTGGCCCAAAGGGGTGGCAGCAAGAGTGGCGGTGTCTAGGGACAGGGTAGGCACAGAGAAGATTATACACCAGCTCCCCAGGTCAAGGCCCGGGCAGTTCCCACTTGCTCGGCCACAGCGAGCACGAGGGAAGCGATGGGAAGCCGGCCGTGTGTTGGCACGTCCCCCAGAGCCATGCGGAGGAGGACGGGGGGGCCCGCGGGAGGGAACGTCCCCGCTGTTACCTCCTCGCTGATCTCCTGCAGGATGGAGGGCTGCAGCTGCATCGCCTTGAAGCGCGTCCCCACCACACAGTGCGTCCCCACCACACAGCACTTCTCGCCCGCCCGCAGCTCGCAGAGCTTCCTCACCACCACGCCGTTCCCTGCAGAGAGAAACGGGGCTCAGCCGGCCTCGGGGACGGTTGCGAGGGCAGGCAAGGTTCAAGGCTGGCCGGGACCAGCTGAAAGGGCCTGAACGTCCAGGCCAGCAAGAGGCGGCGAGGGAATGTTGCAAAGCCTCTTGCTCTTCCTCGAGGCATGGAGCCGAATCCACATGTGTAGGCCAGATGGGGCCAATGGAGCATGCCAGAGAGCCAGCACTGCCTGCAGGCATTTCCTCCGCGTTGAGGGGGAGGAAAGCTGGGTCACACCAGGGTCTGGGGGACCCACAGCTCCTGGCCACCACCCAGGACAGCGTGCAGAGCTCCCGCTGGGACCACAGCTCCAGCTCTGCAGGGGGCACAGGTCCAGGTTTGTCCCACCTGGGCACGGAATTGGTGCCCTTGCCCTTGAGCACGAGGGGCTGGTGTTCCTGCTCCTCATCCGGATGACCCAAACATTCCACTCAGATTTGACAGGCAAGAGAGATCGTTCACCACCCCCAAGTCTGACCTCTGCCTCTGCCAGGGCCAGATCCTCTGCCCGGGATTCCTG